CCTTAAAAACTCCATACCTAAAATAAGAGGATTTTGCAGATTCTTCACTACAAAAATTAATACTTTGAGGCTTTCCTCTTTTACCTGTATGTTTAATGATAATTTCCCGATGCAGTGAGAGGTTTTTCCTTGCGCTTTCATATTTTTGTTTTTAAATAATCGTAACCTATAAAAATTCTTTTTGAAGAATGTTTCGCTCATAAAATTACCTTCTGCTCCTGTATCGATGAGGGCTTCTACTGGTACATCGCCAACCAGGACTTGTATAATTGGTAGATGTGAGTTTTTTACGATGACCGTATTTAAATGTCTTTTTGAGGGTTTTTTTTTAAAACTTCCGGGGTCTGGACCCTCGCTTTCACAGGCCCCTCTACTCGTTTAAAGCTTTCCTTTCAACTTCTGCCTTCTGGGTACGCGGATGTTTGTTTTCGAATTTCCTTTTTGGGCCTTGACCTTCGAGGTTCGATGAGTTAGCTTGATAGCTCTTTCCCCCATAAGAGCGGTTTGCATTTCTGGTTTGCTCATTTGAAGATTGCCTTCGGGTACTTTGAGAATACGATGCCCCTCTAGCTTTTTCCGCTATTCTGCGATTTTGAAACTTCACCGCCAATTCGAAGAGCTCCTGCAATGTGCTTGGGTTTCTAATTTCGAAGTAGTCTTGAACAGCAGGTAACAATCTTGGTAAGATTATTTCAATAATCTCCGCGTCGGGTTTCTTCCCATACAGCATATCCGTCAGCTTAATTTTTCGCAGAATAAAGTCCGTCAACTCTTCTATATCCCGTTGATAGAAACTATATAGTTCGGCTTCCAGCCTTGCTCGATCTTTCACTATGGGGAAGGCCTTTAACTAACGATTTTTTTGAAATTTTCAAATGTATATGTCTGGCTTCCAAATTCCCCTAATAAAAATTTGCCTATATTCTTCCACCATAGCGCGGCCTGTCCTCTTAGTGCAGATGTGGCGATGGCAACTTTTTGTCTTTCAGGCACAGGGTAGAGCTGAAAGTGATTTTCTAGGCCTTCTAGAAATATCGCCACCGAATTTTTTTTTCCGTCGAAATTGACGTTTGGCTTGATTGACGCTCTCAAAGTCTGGACCAGGTATCCAAATCCTTCCAATTGGCTTGCCATTTCTTGGTGTTGTCCCGCGGCTTCCATCCGATTTTCGGCCATTTCAGTTCGACAAGTGTTCGGGCGCCAATGTAGAGTTGCGCGCCTCCAACCTGCACGCAACCAAGAGGTGACTGTTGAAACTGGAAAATAGACAGAGTCTTGCTAAGGGTTTAAGTCCCTTTTTATTCAACTTTAAGAAATTACAATTGCGTGCTCTTGACGCTCACAAACTACGCCGACCCGGCGGTAAAATAAAAATAAGAAACCTGAAAAGAATAATAACAAGACTCTAACTACGAGGCTCTCTAAAAGTAACTAACCTCACCGCGTTTTACAATACCGCTGCTAATTCAGCAAACTTTGAATATCACGTTGAAACGATTAACAATTCTGCCGAGGCAAGCACACAGGCCGAAACGCGGGGTTCTTCAATTTCTGGCTAACTACCACCTCCGCGCTCGTGAAGTAAGAACAGCACACTTCGAACTCGTTTCCCTTCTATTTAACTCAGAATACTTCCGTTGATAATTTGAATCCTTGCGCGTTCTACTAAAATTTACATACTCTGGCATTGGCTGTTCCAGGGGAAAGTAAGGCTTGACAGGAAAGATAGTTTAAACTTAAAATAAATGTTAGTTAAAATAAATATAAACCCTACAAGCAAAATTACAAAATATTGTAAATCAACATTTCTTTAGAATTTCCGTTAGGCAGTCTCGTCCGCTGAAGATTAAAATATTTTATTTCGTGCAGTGTTGCTACTACTCGCTTTCAAATCGTTGAGTTTGTTAATCAAAAATTCTTGAAAGTTTTACAAAATGGGAAATACCATCCTTTTTTTACAGTTCGAGACATATACATATATATATGCAGATTCTTCATTATTCATGTCTTTAAAAATACTATCGGACAACAATATTTGGTGTTTACAATTTGCAAAGTGATACAGCTATTGATGGTAATTCAACGCAAATGCCCGTTTCAAGACTAATAACCCATTCGGGCTAGTAAAATTTTGGGCTTATAAAAATCCAGAAAATGAGTTTTATGTTACGTATTATATCCCAGGACTTTAAGATTCTTAAAAGCTGGATGACTAGTTCTTTGCAATTTTCTGCTTTTCATTTACGTTCATCGCTATGATTTACTGGAACATTCATACATCAAATTCACCTATGTGCAATATACCTTCTAATATAACATTACTTATTAAGCTCCTTTACTTGAAGAGAAACACAGATTCTTTAATACTGGCTTTGTTAATTTGGGAAAAGGATAGCTTTTAGAAATAAAAGTCATTTTCTTTTTCGAATACTATGATTTTACAAAATGTTTCAACTAACACGTTGCAAGAGAATAGCAGATTTATTTTGTGATGATCTACTAAAGACTGAGAAATTATATGTTTTATTCCGAGATTAATACCCCGCTTTTAGGCCAAAATTATTTAATATTATGTCTATCTATGTATCTGTTACTTCATTCACACAAAAGACTACAGAATTTTTGAATCTGAGTTTAGCTTCGATAATATGACTCCTTCGTATGTGCATACGCTGATGGATAATCATTTTCATTATGGAACAAAACTACTAGTACTGTATTTGTTTCAAGAAATCTATAAACAGTCTGCGTTCTGGAAGTTCATGTTGATACTCTCAAACCATCTGCATCCTTATAATATGTACAATCATGTTCGTTTTGTAAAACATAAGAGCACGAACTCTTCTGCGACGAACTTGAAATCTTATTTCATAATAAATACTAGCATAAAGTACGCAAGAATCAGTAAAAATGCTTTCTTTAACAAAATCTTTGTTGATTAGTGTCACACTGTAATGGCTTTTACTGACAAAATTTAGAAATTTTCGACTGTGTTCATGAGCAACCTAAACAACAAAAATGCTGATTTTGCCAATTAATGGTTCTGTACTGGAAAACAGCACTCATTATCAAACATAATTAAAGTTGTAGTTGGTCTTTTAAAGTTTTAATTATTCATGGCTGCAAATTTTGTATGTAAAAATGTACAACGCTTTGTATTTAACTTATTAGAAGATTGCTATTATTTTATTAATTGCAATTTTGTGTTGTGAAAGCTATATAAAAAGTTAGATATAATGCTCGCGGAATCTATATCAGCCATAGTATTGAATATGTTTTCCCTTTTTATAGCCTGTTAGTTTAGTAAAGGCACTTCAGGATCTTTTTCCTCCACACAGTTTGTCCATACCATAGTAACGACACCCGCAACAAATGCTCGTGCCTCTAATTGATATTTCCTACTTCATTTTCCTTCAACGTGCTTCGCTTCGTCAAAATCGCTTGGATGAAGGCTAACTTCAGCCCAGATAAAGGAAAGAAATAAATGCTGTGCGTAGTGATGGCATGCTTTACGATCGTAAATGGAGGAGATTGAATTGCCTATTTTAAAGTAACAGACTTTAGCTTAATTTAGGTAGTTTTATAATTGGAAGTGCCTATCTAGGGTTTTGAGCTTCAAAGTACCAAAAAAATAATAGCACTTTAAATAAGTTTATTATATATAAATATTTTATGTAGCAATACAGAAAATACTTGCCAATGGTGTTTCCAAGAGTTGTTATTACAGAAATCTGTAAACATCATTACTCCTGCCGCGGGACTTTTATTGATCAGGAAAAAATAATAATAGCATTATCTAATTTAATAATAAAATAATAAAAGCATTATTTAATGTGAAGAGGTATGTAATAGACCTTTGTCAAGCAGACATCAAATTTCTGCCACAACAGAATCCATAATTTGATTATCAACGGGCAATAGACCAAACGGAAGCTGCTTTTTCTCCATACACAACGCTAATGAGCCTCATAACTCTGGGAGTAAAAAAATCCTTTTGATCAGCTCTTGCATTACAATAAAAGTAAGTTAAGTATTCTATATCTAATATAGTTATGTAAAAGTTATTTCAGTTGAGTTTTATAAATGCACTAAAGAAAGAAATGATCTTTTATATTTACGACAAAATATGGAACATGATGCTAAAACTTACTAGAAACTCTACTAGAAAGAATATATAATAAATTATTGTTGTAGCAGTAATGTAGGGTTATCCGAATATAGAGCACGAGATAAATATAAACTAATCTAGTTTATGAAATAAGACTAAGACCAGACTTATGAAATAAGCTAATTCAAATGTTCTTAGGGCTTGAAATGTGGTATATGATCATTTGAGAAATAGTAAATGAATAAATAATCTGCCATCTCATTTTAATTTAATTTTGACTACAAAGTATAATAAGCTCTTCTAAGCTCCTGTACTGAAGTGCCAGAGACTTCAATTTAAGTAATGCTTTCCACCTCATTTACATAAATTTCGATCCTGAAAACTCATTCTTCCAGGGAATCGTAGGTGGGAAACAAGAGAGTAAAGGAAAGGCTTGTTCAATAATAAAAATAACTATTAGGAAATTAAAATAAACCCCCTATAATATAATCAAAATTATTTTCGTAAATTAAACAATGTTAACTGTGTAAAGCTAAAATTATTCTTGACTTTATAATTATACTTTCGTTACTAAAAATATGAAAATATCTTTAATGCATGTTAGTTTTATGCTCTTGTCTTTAAAACCGCTGGTATGGCTAAGGTTATAGAGAAGGGCAGTTTCAATGAGGAGTAGTAAATCCGTGATAATGTCACAAAACAATAATCGTTAACGTTTGGTAAGGAACTTAATACCCTGAAAATTACTTTAAAATATTCTTAATTTTACCAAAAGCAGATAGTTAAGTGTGAGAAACGAAAATGTCGCTTTATTTTTCTCTCTCTTTCTCTCTCTTTTCTTATAAAGGAAATGTAATGATATCTAATCTGATTGTTTTTATGAATTTTACAGGTTATCACCAACTGTTCAGGGTACATCGCGAACATTGGACAAAGATATTGTTCTTTCTGGATATCGAATACCTGCCAATGTAAGTTGCTTATCTAATGTTTTGCTGCTTTCATTAGAATCTAAAATCAAAAGGAAGGTCATTGGTTTTTATTATTTTCTTTGATATCCATTGTACGTCCATGCATTTTAATGGCTTGAATCAAAACAACAACCACTTCTAGCAGAAATATTTTGATTCACGATGATTAAGTATATCGATTTAAACGTAATCAATGTTACTACATGTTCTGCGTGCTTAAAAAATAAAATTAAAACATAACCATTTCTTTTTATTACAGCATTTTTTTTTAAATCTTGTAAAGTTTGTCGCTTTTTTTTTGCATAAATCTGAATAAAATTCAATTTATTAGATAAAAAGTATTTCTCGGGGAAAATATATCTGGATTCCTTTAATTGTTTTAATTCTAAATAATTTTATGCTATGACATATTACTACTAACATAATTCTTTTATCCAATCCAGAAAGGAATGATATTTTAATATGTAAAAATAATAATTTACATGAGTAAAATAAAATTATGTGCAAAGTTTTAACAGAACAGTGTGAATGTCTATTAAAAATTTGCGCAGTCTCTTCAGTGTTTCAGTTCATTTTACAATCTCTTCAGTGTGAACGTCTCTTTAGCATTTTCAAAAAACATGTAAAATCAACACACTGGTATACCAGATTGCGGTTTAAAAAAACTGATCCCTGATGTTTTGTCGTAAGGATAAATATAAGTTTAATTTTTCAAATATTTACCGATAGACTGCACTGTTGATAACACACTAAAAAGCTAGAATTAATAATTTACAGCATTTATACGTGTACACCTTTGAGCACTGTACTCCATCAGGAGTTCTCATTCGTGTACATTGCGCAAAAAGTTTTTTTTTTTTTTTTTTCCCAATGAGACGTTTCTATATCTCCCGTTCTACTGGGCTGATTGACGAAATTCAGCTTGCGTTTTTCATGTCTCGAAAGGGCGACTTAGGATATGTATTTATATATAGCATTGTTCTAATATAGGTATTTTGATACAAAATCGGACTTTTTCTGAAATAACATACCAATAGTTTCAATGTTTCGATTCTACGACTCAAATTACGCCGCTCCTCAATGTTAATTGAATTTGGTATATATTTATTAATCTCTCTTTTTATATTAAACTTATTTGATTCTTCACATTTCAAAATTCAGGTTGAGTTCCAAATAAAATTCATCCATTTATGATTTATTTTTAAAATTTGTATTTTTAAATAATTTTTATAATTTTTTCTAAACAAATTTGAATTATAATCTATTAAAATTTTACCATCACTTTAAAGTAGATGTATTTCTAAGCATACCTGCAAAAAATTGCAGTTTTTATTCAAAATTTCTGAAGATATACGTGAATTTATATATTGGCGGGTTTTGAAATTTGGCATGTTTCTTGAAAGCGATAAAACATCAAATGTGGTTTAGACACTTTGCTAAAATTATTTGAAAGTTAGAACGAAGTGACTTTTTTCCGCTCATGCACAATGTGAAAAGATAGGAACGAGGTGCCTTTTTTTTCCGTTCCGGCATAATGGAAGGGAACGGAAACTTGGTTGCCATATATTAAGAAGTTCGCCAAGTGAATTATTCTTGGCGAAAACTAAAAAACAATTGTGCCAAGATAAATTTCTGAATTTCTCCTTAAATTTCGCACCAAATTTTACAAAATTTAATATCTAGGCATAATTTGAGTCGCAGAATCGAAATATCGAAAATAATTGGTATGCTTTTTTAGAAAAAGTCCGATTTTGTATCAAAATACCTATGTTAGAACAATGATATATATAAATCTAATATATATCTTAAGTCGCGCTTTCAAGACATGAAAAACGCAGTTTGAATTTTGTCAATCGGCCTAGTAGAACGGGAGATATATAATTGTCTCTTTTTTTTTTCCGCAGTGTACTTTCTCGCGTTTTTATATTAATTGTACAGTATCACCAGTTGGTGAACGTGTGAACCAAAATATACCGTATGTCTGAATAAATAAATAAATCCACTTCTGTGATAAATCATTAGATGCACTCTATGCGAATTTTATTTTATTTTATACGAAATTTTAAAAATAGAGTCTGAACTTATTCGACCTCCTACGTTTAGAATTATCAAGCTAAAAAGATTTATATGTGCAGATACTTACTTATAATTTTTTAAAAGGAATTGTTTTTTTTCACTAAGTCTGTGATTTCGAATGAGAAGATTCACATCCGAAACTTAACTAGAAAAAGTATTCCCCCCCCCCTTTTTTTTTTTTTTTTTTTTTTTTTTTTTTTTTACTGATAGCGCTCTAGAAGAATAAAAAAAATCTACATATTTAAAATATCCAATAAAGGAGAATGAATCATAAATACCGTAGTATATTTTTATATTGAAAGTTTTTTAACTAGTTAAGGTGTAAATACTGTATGTTTCTCATTCTAATTTTCTTAACTCGCATCACTCATTATTTATCTGAGCACTTTATAAATGAGCAAATAAATATGAAAAGGTTACTTAGCATCATAAAAGAACACACGTATGGTTAAGATTTAGTAGTACCTTATTTGAGCTTACGAGACACAGCGCCGATTTTTTTCCTGGCTTGTTAGCAAAGAGAAAAATCTAGTTCAATTCCTATAAGTTAGAATCTTTGTAGAGAAGTTAGAATGCTCTGCTTTCAGAAATTGTATGAGTATTAATATCAGTAAAGTATTGTAAACGTATGAGTATTAATATTAGTATTGTATATGCATATTGCTCATGCATATATTGCACGAGCAATATAACAGTCTTACATCAGTAAAGTATTGTATCAGTATTATATCAGCCTTGTATCTGTAGTGTACCAGTTATATTTCATCAGTAATGTACAAGTAATGCAACAGTAGAACATTGATCTATGATATTTTAATTCGCAATATTTTGGGTCTCTGTAAAGTATTATTTTGTGGATTTATTTATCGACTTGTGCAAAATCATTCCCGTTTAATCAGTATTAATAATCAGAGTTATATCAATGAATCAGTACTGTAGCAGTATTAATCAATATTAATATCAGTACCAGTATTATATCAGCCTTTTATCAGTTCTGCATCTGTCATATTTGCATCAGTAATGTACCAGTAAATGTATCTTGAATATTAATCTGCAACTATGTAACATGTTATTTTGTATGTCTTGTCTTTCACTTTGAATACCTTTCAGGTGGCATTATGTATTTTGAAGGGGTGCTATAGATAGTTGTGGATGTGGTGCTACACTAATTAACCGTTTGGTAAGGGGATAGTGCCCACGTCCTCCGTTCTCTCTCTCTCTGTCTTCAGAACAAGGAGCTGAAATCTAAGCAGCTAGTAGAGTAGATTTAATACACTAGTTTATAAATTACGTTGTTTCATGTTTATTCAACTTTGGTAGTTTTATTTCCAAAGCATTAAATCCACGAGATTTGTTAGAATTGAAAAATGCCATAAAACGTGATATTATACAAAATTCCCCGTAGAGGTTACGTTCTTAATAGTTACCAATAATCTCTGACATGAAATTCGCTATCGCTGGCGAAGGTGGGCACGTTAAAAACTATGTTAAAAGAATTTGTAAAGAAAGAGGAAATGTGAAGATTACAGGATAAGTCACAACGTGACTGTAGTAATTACATATTTATGTGACTTACACGGCGGAAATTATTGTCTGAAAATTCGTGAATCCGCTTATATCGTGTTTGTACTAGGAGGAGAAAAATGAAAAGTGATTTGAGAAGAATGGAGAAAAAGATGGGCTTAGTTAGATATAAAATTATGAAGGCTTACTTGAGAAGAAGCGTAATCGATATATCAGAAAGTTATGAGCAGTACTTCAAAAAGATGGCATGGCTGCTTATCTTTAGAATAATTGGCTAACACTCATGGTACCAGCTTCCGGAATTAATTAAGTGCCTTTTAGATTAGGCAGTAAATGAAATTAAGAATTATACAAGTGTCCTGGGAAAAAATGTTTGATCCAGTCAATCCTCTTTTACTCTGGAGAAGGTCATTTTATAGAAAGTCTGCTTCAATAATGTACAAAATTGGCCTAAAACAACATGAAGATTACATGATTTAAGCTGCCTAATCAGCCGCAGTAAATACTATATGCCTGTTTTAGTTTCCGTACAAAAATGAATTAAGTTATTCAAAACGTTTTCTAAATTTATTATTCCTACAAATAGGAATTTGAAGCCATTATACATTTTCCCCCTTAATTAAAAAACATCAATCAGAAATTTAGCTTGTAAAATTTATATGTGAAGCTGTCTGTATAACTATGGTAACGTTTTGGACAGAAGGTAAACATTAAATGAATGAATGAATAACCAGCTTTTAATATTGTTTCGTTCCGGATTCAAATCTCATCAAAGGGGCTGTTTGTTTAGAGTTATTGCGATTTTCTCCGTTTGTAATATGAATACGATCCCTAAAATTGATCTCTACGAAAGCGTTTTAGCGCTTTGCTGTCAAAGAAAAAAAAAAAAAAAAAAGCAAAAATCTATTGAAATATCTCTATATATACCCTTAAAACTTTGATTAATGAAAACTTTCGCAATTTTTATTATATGAGAATTCTTGCTTTTCCAGTTGTTATATGAGGATTGATTGTTCTTCCGTTTATTATATGAGGACTTACTGCTTTTTCGCTTGCTATATGTATTCGGATATAAGAATTTGTTTCACAACTACAAGGCCCATGAAGTAGGCTACATTTTTTGGACAGAAGGTTAAATGTGACATGAATTGCCGCAAGCTACTTTAATTGATTCGTTTCTTAATTTTGACTTTTGTGTCTATGACCAGATTTTCAAGAATTATTCATTCATTCAGTCTCTTTGTTATGTCTTGAATTGCAGGATTAGGTTTCAAAAACTATCAGGAACTGATGTCATTATAAAATCATTGAAACAAGACATGCATAGCAAACTAAAACAGGAAGCATATTTAGCCGCAACTATATTTCTAGAAATTTAAAACCTTTTATATAGAATTAAAAGAGTAATAAAGTTTTATGTCCATGGACTTCATTATTCGTTTTATTCTTACATACTGTCATCATGCTTAATGAATGGAAACGTTACAAACTGATTCCATTTGCCTGTGATTTTTCTGAAGCATTTGTATTCACTAATTACCGAGTGGATAGAGTTTCTGAAACATTAGTAATTTCAGCTAGAGTTTGTGCCTCGGCCTTTAGGGGGAAGTTGAGCATGTCCTACAACTGTTAAGACGTTCCTTTTAAATATTAAGCGTAATATCACGTCAACTAGGTACATTTCTTCCGACGAAATGAGTTACCTCCTAATTACCCATATTGTTTCTCATTGTGTTCGTCTTCCTGTAATATTTGTGAGGAAGACCGCGAAGAGATTATGATTCAGTGTCTAAAATGCAAAGGACGGGTACACGACTTATGTGCTAAAGTTGAAAAGAAAATGAAGGACAAATCTTTGTAATCGTTGCTGTAATTAATTGTATAAATACGCTCATTGAGGAAAAGAAAGTTTTATTGTAATTGTCGAATTCTAAACGTATACGATTTGTGTTACGATGTAAAATACTTGTTGTCTATATCGTATTAAATTCGTCTTCATAACTTTTATTGATTTTTTCCAAGAGAGTAGACTGCATGGAATTTTATTGTAATAAATATCAGCAACGATAATACAAAATATTATTACCACGCATAACGTTTTTTCATAGATCCTGCAATTTATATCCATTTTTCTTTGAGAGTGAGACTTAGGCAACCTTACCCTATGTATTCGTAAAATTTAAAGCAATTTCAAGCAGTTTCTCGAGAAATTACTGCAGGAAAAACATTAAATCTAACAGAAAATAATCCCATGGATTTCGACATAATCAATAAATCCATAATACTCATCGCATATACATTTCGACTTTACATTAACAAAATATTCAATGTATTATTTAAGTAAATTGATGAATTATCTGTCCGAATTAGTTTGCGAAAAAGTGACAGTATAACATTTCTACAAACGTAGCTAGCATCGTCTTTCAACATAATCCTTTTTGAAAGACAGCTTGTTATTAATGGCTGAATAAAAAACAATCTCTCCTTTTTGTCTAAGTCCAAATATAAATAATATATCACCCTTAGACTGAATAGCGGGCAACCATTCGTAACTAAACCACCTATTGCTGCTTTACGCCTGGACGAACATCAGCTTTACGGCCAAGGCGGCGATAGTGGACTTTATCTCTTACTTCCAGGTGACCTGTTAATGTCCTTCTTTTAGCCCATTCCAATTCTTAGGAGCCTTAGAAAACTTCTCTCTTAAGACAGGCGACAATCCAGAATTCGCACAATCTTCTTCCTGTAGCTGCCTATTGCTTTAAATTGTCGGTTTCTTCTCTTTTATAGCTGCAGGTCTCGTGCGACGTGGACTTGTCGATACTGTGTAGTTGAAGTCGTGCGATCAATTGGCTAATGGTTTTTGCAGCTATAGGTTTTCTTTCATTTGCCGAATCGATTCGCCAATTCAGTAACTTGCAAAAAATATAAGATCAAAATGGAAAATATTGGATTTAGTAAACCGTGTCAGTGATATAAATGATGTTTTCGAACAAAGAAATTGTCCTTGGAACTGATACTTTTGCGAATCTTTATTTCTGAATGCAAAAAAGTAGAAAAGAAGCTTTTTGTTTCAAGATTCCCAAACGTTTGGAAGTCTTCTGAGTCTTCTAATTGCAATTTTCTATTTGTAGATAAATGAGGGAAACAAAATGTATTTTGACAACTGAAAACAGTAGACAAATTTCTTTATTTAATGCCATATGTTTTAAAGTAAAAATGACTTTGTTATTATAGAGTATAATAAGAATATTCAAGTCGATTAGTATAATCAGGTTTTGACATGTGCTACAATTAAAAAAGTATCCTCTAATAGAATATTGAGAAGTAAAATTATAGTATCAAATAATCAAAATAGCCTTTTTTATATCCAGAGAGAGAGAGAATTCAGCGGTTTCACTTATTTATTCCCGTATTCATATATGCAGGAAAACGTAAATACTGACATGATTTTCATTTTTTATTGATAAGAAATAATATATATATTATTTTCATAAAGTTATCCTGTTCAGTATTCCAATTTATGGAGTCAACTGTCATTTCTTCGGGCTTGGGTTCGAATCCTTGAGAAGGAGTGAATGTTTGTAGTTTTCCGTTCCCTTTCTTGCGAGTTTAATATAGTTCGTCCCTTGTAGTCCACCCTGGATAACATTCTCGATGAAGAGATGGTAGACTGACTGGCCATTTCTGAACGAATGCTTTATGAACAAGTGTGTGGCTATTAGATTAAAACATTTTTCTCCATAAATATATTTAAATATGTATTTTCACATCATGTCTATAATTATCAAAATAAGCGCATCTAGAGCAATACGAAGAAGCAGCATAATAAAGAATGTTTCTTTAGAAAGGATCAATATAAAAATTCAAATTTCGTGATTTATATTAAAAGGTGTCTTGTGACAAATCACTATCTGAAGATTTCTAGCAACTTTCTTTTCTCCGGAACAGGGGAAAAGAACAGTGAATTTGCCTATATTAAAAAATCATTTCGAATTTATATAGAGAATGTTTTGAATAACTTCGGTCTTCAAAATCACAGTTTTTGATTAGCAAAGCATTCACTTAGATTTATCAACTTTTATGAAAGAACTAATCATTTCAGAGATTTTTCTTGTACGTTTATCATACGATTATCATTAAAATGGATATTCTGTTTCAGACGTTAATTACGCTCAACTACTACGTGTCTAGCGTGCAAGAAAGCAACTACCCAAACGCTAAAAAGTACGTACCTGAACGATGGCTGAGGACGGAAACTGGAGCACCTACTACGCCAGATTCTTTTGCTTTCCAACCATTTGGTTTCGGACCAAGGATGTGTATTGGGAGGAGAATAGCCGACCTCGAAATGCTAACATTGCTGACCAAAGTAGGTGAAAGTGCTATTTTATGAAACATTTTAGAGATATTTTATTGTAATTTATTTTGTACATAATTTTGGTTCGTATGTGTTTGGTAGGATGAAACAAATATGCAGCAAAAGTTTTGCTTACAAAAAGCAGTCGAAAATTCGAGTAGGATCTCTAATAACAGAAACTGTGAATATTTGGTTATCCTTGAATTTATCAAAGAAAAACTTTCGTAAGCAGGGATATCATTAACATAATTCACTGGTCAATACTGTGTATATACATATGAACATTCGGTTGTTATATCATCTCTTATTGTATACCATTCTGAATAATCCCTAGCGAAGCGAAAGATTCTAAACATAAACTTAGCATTTTCCTGTATAGCGTACATCCTGTATTGTTTTATAAGGTATATCTCCCAACTTTCCTACCGTGCCTTCGTGGTGTAGTGGTTCTGCACGCTGAGCCGGTATTTCAGAGGTCCGTGGTTCGATTCCCGGCGAAGGCTATTGCTCATTTTTCATCTTGCCTGCTTCAAAAAGTACCTAATGACTCTACAAGTGGCGTCCGAACTAAAAGGGTTGTGGATGATGATTCTCCGCATCCAAGATCTCCGCATCCAAGGTCCCCTAAAACCCTTGTCGCCCTTTAAAAAGGGGAATATATAAGGTATTTCTCCCGCTTCCCTAGCTGCCTTCGTGGTGTTAGTGGTCAGCACACTGAGCCGGTATTTCAGAGGTCCGTGGTTCGATTCCCGGCGAAGGCTGTTGCATATTTTTCATATTTCCTACTTCTAATTAACCTAATGACTCTACAGTTTATTTGATAAATTTTGCCCTTTCTGAAAAATTGATATTCCCTTGATAATTACTTCCATAAGGTTCGAATTTCACTGCGTCTTTCTGAGTGTTCTTTCTTTGGTTGCATTTATAACTCAAGTAAAGTTACTATATATGTAGTTTTCTCCTTTTATGCTGTGCATGTAATTCGGTTATCAATTTTAACTAAAACGAAAATGTTAGAAAAACATCTTCGTTTTATTTATAAACCACATTGTAATAGATATATTAACCTAACTTACGAAAATGTTAAGCACACATCTTTCATCTTATTTACGAATCACACATAACGTAGACATAATTAATTATTGTATTGGTCTATTTAGTTAAAAATAAATATTTATGTGTATTAACTCACATGTTCATGGAACCGGAATTTCTATGACAGATGGGCAAGTCACGGCTTATCTGCTCCAGATCTGCTTTAATTCAAGCCGGAGATTTATCTAACCTACCATGGCAGTCACAATGCAAAAATAATATCTGTTATATAACCTTATCTTCTGAGGACCATTCAAAGTCCAGACCGTGGAAATTATGGTCTACATTGCAAGTTTCACAGTGGTTGCACAAATCAGGACTCTGATAATTCTCAACCGGGATTTTGCTAAGAATTCCAATCCGCAGCTGGCAAGATGAACGAGCTTAAACCCACTCCTACCCCTCTACCAAGATTGCGGAAACAATCTAGAATTGCAAATTGTGGCCTATTTATCAACTCGGAAACAAGGCGAAGAGGGATCACGCATCGGTGGAGGTCTGCTAACTAGACAGGAAAATTATTCATCAGTGTCATCTTCCCAGCGATGGCCATTAAATGTGGTTTTCGTTGGCGGGGTATTTCCAAGAGAAAGTTATCTTCTGTTACCAAAGGTTTATGTAGCAAATTTCAAAAACTAAAACATGAAATCGATTCCAGGTTCTTCGCTCTGGGGTTGGAGTGATTCACTCTAAGGTCGGCTCGTCGTGACAAGCAAGGATGTATTTAATAAGATTTCAGGAGATTTGGAGTAGTAATTTAAATGTTTGGTCTAATTCAAAAAATATCTTCAAATTCCTATATATGTTTATGCTGTCACTTAGAGTTAAGCGAAAGTACCTCACCATTAAGTCTAAAGAAACGAGTACATCGTATGTTATTTGTATGTGCATGTGTTATATATCTATGAATTTGCAGTAAATGTGTTACATATCTATGAATTTGCAGCTCCTGAAAGACATTTTCGAACGATTTTGATCATCTAGGAAGGTAATCACGTTAGCGAGGTGAAGTGAAATATCGATGTTTATTCATATTCTAACATATGCTGGTCACTTTCAGAGATGCTCCCCTTTAGGTTTATACATAACATCCATAAAGGCTTTTTATTTAGTATGCCAGTTAGTAAAGCAGCTCGCGTAACACTGAACCAAGTTTCAATTCCCTAAGAAGACATGGATGTTTATGATTATTTCTTCCTCCCTCTCGCAGATATAATATCGCTGCACTTCTTGTGGTGCGTCCTGGACAACTATCTCTGCGCTGAGAAGGCTAAATAAACGACGCGGCCATTTCCAACCGATACTTAACCACCAAGTGTCAGATCTTCGAAAAACAATAATAATATTCATAAATACTGCATACTTATTTAAAACATTCACATAACATTTAAATATTTTTAAATTAAATAAAATTTTACTAGAATTAAAAACTATAAAATTTAAAAATCTGACTGTATTCGGTTGTTGAGTTTGTTTATTTCAATACGGTAAAGTATTGGCATGTTACAAATAGAATGGCCGATTGAAAAAGAAGACAATTAAAGAAGAATACCTGTTTAATCAAAGTAAGTTCCAGTGGCAAAAGCACATTGTTTCTTGCGTTTGTAAAATTAGTGTATCTGGAAGTTACGAAGTCCTCGCTGTCTTATAAATTGATTCATAGTTGGCAAAGTGTTTCTTGGTTAAAAATGGCTGAAGTGCAGGAAAAAAATTGTAAGCTCTTCGGGAAGTGTCAGAAGAGCACTTGAGGACGAGGCATAATTTTGTATTTCAAATTCTTGATTTATTTTACGGTTTAAATTTCCGTATGTTGTTGGGTGTTATCCTGGAGCAATAGAATTCCATATCTATTTACAGGTGTTGTTGTTTAAACCCAATCTCTCATGCATTTGCCACATGTCTATTCAATATAGAGCTACATTTATCATTTTACCTCTTGGAAGGAAAGAGTAATCAATAACAACAACGAGCGTAGCACTTCCTGGAGCCTAGTCACTGCAATGAATGTGTACAACTGTTATGGAATACCTATTGGTTATCCAGACTCACTATTCGTTGCAGAAATGTCTCTTCTTTAATTCTTTTTAAGACAGAAAGCACATTTCCAGACGTCATGCTTTGTTTTCTTCAGTGAATTCATGAGCCACCCACTTATCAAGATTTCGTATTTTTTGCAGTCAAGCGCCATTATACAGTTAAGCACCATTATACAGTTAAAAAGTGTACATTTAGTGTTTATTGAATTTGTCATGCAGTCTTTCCGGGATTTGATTCGATGAAATCGTTTTAACTTCTTCGATACAATGGAGAAAGGATCTTAGGCTTTCTTTTGTAACCTCACATTTTCTGAGCGAAATTTCCCAAAACAAAGGTTAAGGTAGTTCTTCCGCCTTCTTAGCATGCCTTCATGGTGTATTGTTCAGCACGCTTGACGCGTATTCGAAAGGTCCGTGGTTCGAGTTCCGGTGAGGGCATTTCTCATTTTTCACGTCTCCCGCTTCGAAATAACCTAATAACTCTAGAAAGTGACTGAATCTCTTATTAGTTGTTTCTCCATTAAATTATTTATTCATTTATTTTTTTAATTGCAGAATTCCCAAATTCGAACTCAGAATTTCTCACTTTGACTCAATATTTACTCAAATTTTGCACTTTCAGTAAATGTTTACCAAACGTAATTGGCTAAGTTTCGTAACTGACTTAATGTCAGTAGTAGTCAGCGTCTAATACTCGCTGAAAGAAACCAATACTATGGTTGCATCCCTTAGTCACATGGCAGAAAAAATTTACTTAAAATTCAGAACTCAGAGCTTGGTAAATAAATATATATATCGTCATAACCACATATTCATATAATCATAAGTAATTTGGACATAGTAGACATACAATTGAAGGAAGTAATGAAATCTGGAACTAAATTTAGACCAGTTCAAACGATCAGCAAGAACTCCAGCCCCCGCAATACCGGAAATAACGTGAACGAATTAACATTTAAAACAGAATGTAAACTCAGCCTTCCCAGTAATACATTCTTAGCATGGAAATAAGGGTCTTTTAGAAAAATTAAGACTAGATTAAATAAATTGAAATTTATAGGAAAACTGAAATAGAGTACAATCAAGTAAATATACTCTAAATTAAGAGGAAATTTTCTATTACCAAAATAGATAAAACAAGCAATAATTTCAGCATCCTATGAAAACAATGTTACAGCCAAGTAATTGAAACTAAACTTCATCAGCATATTTCCTACAAAGGAAGCTTCCATCATCAACAAACTAAACGCCTTTCATCTCAAACTTAAAATTTTTGATGCACTTGACTGCAACAAATTCTCTAACCCATATGCGCTTGCCAAATTCCAAAAGAAGAAACCACTTAAATTCAGATTTACAGCCATTGTGAAAAATATTATAAGAAAAATATTGACTACATATTTGCGATCCAACCAAAAAAATCGTTCTATTATTCTTAGCTCAGCTGACCTAAATCACGGTTCCTGTTGGATTATCAACAATAACTTACCTGCTATTTCAGCTATTCAAAATCACAAGAGTCTATAACTTCTTCCAGATTTATTCCCTGAAATGCTTACTAGGTTAGCAAAAGACAAATAGAAAGCTTTTTCTCCGATGCGCGCTTTTTCAGAACCTTATTAAATTTAATGACACGATTTTTAAACAAATCAACGGGATCCCTAAGCTCTCTAATTTCTCTTCACAAGTCTGCAATTAATATTTATTTGCAAAAAATAACAATTTCAGAAGTCTTTATACAATACAAATTTAAAAGTATTTGCCAATATCTACAGGTACATAGAAAATGTTAGCACTTCAGCAATTTTGTATTTGTTGAGAAAGTTCATATATACTCTTCTTGCTTAACGCTTCAAATTAACAAGAAATAGAATTTCTTGA